GAACCCTCAACAGTCTGCAGAATCCCCTCACTGATTACACTGTAAATGATAATCTACCTTAACCAAAATATATATATCGTCAAATAGAACTGCCCGGTAAACCGTAGGCAGAGAGGGAGAAGAGGACAACAAACGAGGGGTTGTGACAAACTGTTTCGTCGGAGTTTCACCGACTTATATATATATCGTCACAAACAGAATATATATATATATATTTTTCACAGCCCTTCGTTTGTTGTCCTCTTCTCTCTCTCTGCCTACGGTTTACCGGGCAGTTATGTTTGTGAGATATATATATATATCGTATATATATATATCGTATATATATACGATATATATATATATATTGTCACAAACAGAACTGTCCGGTAAACCGTAGGCAGAGAGAGAGAAGAGGACAACAAACGAAGGGCTGTGACAAACTGTTTCGTCGGAGTTTCACCGACTCATCAGGAGGCTGAACCCTCAACAGTCTGCAAAGTCCCCTAACTGATTACACTGTAAGTGATAATCCACCTTAACCCCGACTGTGGTTAAGCATCAACGACTGCCCGACAACTGATACCCTGAGGTGGGCACCAACCACTGCCCTCAAGGTACCTGTGGCAAAAGTCAAAGCAGACTATCACTGCCCCACACCAGATGGAAAACTCTACAGACTGTCGGTTCACACCCCATCACAAGCAAGCAAAACACCCACGAAACAAAGAAAGGTCTGTCACAGCCAAAAAATACACTCCAGACACGTCGTTGGCACTAAAGGCACAGCATGGCCGCGTAGTGACGACCCCGACCACTGCCGGTCGACCTGACCGGAGTATATATAATATATATCGTCACAAACAGAACTGCCCGGTATATATATCGTCAAATTGTCACAAGAATATCAAAGCGCAAATGCAAAAAAAAGAAAAAGAAAAACAAGAAAAAACAAGGCTGAATTTCCGGTCCCACGGGGCCCCCCTTCCTCCACCGGAACCGGGCCGGTGGTACCGGCCGGTGGAGCACATCGGTTCCCCCCTGGTGGAATTTTGTGCAGCTCGATCCCGGGGGGGGGTTCGATTTTTTTGGGGGTCGGGAGGCCTCCATGTGGGTCGTGGAGGCCTCCCGGCCCCCCAAAAAATAAAACCGGGTCCGGTAGGCCCGCCAAAAAATTGAAAAACTGGCGGCCTATCTGGGTCGTCGATCTGGTGAGATCTGCGGCCCAGATAGGCCGCCAGTTTTTTAACATTCGGGCGGGAAACCACCCGATGTTCTTGGCGATTCAAACGTGCCCCAGCAGCTGGCCCCACCACCCAGCCTCCCGCCTCCAGCTGCTTTCGAGCAGCACAACCCGTCACTTCGACACTTCGTCGAAAGTGAACGCGGTTGAGACTGCGTCGCCCCCCTCCCACGTCCACCCCGGCCTCGGATCGCCATCGCCCCGCCCCGCCGTCCATCGGTGAAGGTAAGTCTATACCATCTTCTTCTTCTTCTTCTTCTTCTTACTATCTTCTTCTCCTTCTTCTTCTTCTTCTTCTTCCTACTATCTCCTTCTCCTTCTTCTTCTTCTTCTTCTTCTTCTTCTTCTTCTTCTTCGAGTCTGCCCCTTTGCCGTAGTCATAGCCAAAGCTGACGAAAATTTTTGTTTATTATTTTAACTTCTTCTCTCTCTTCTTCTTCTTCCCCCACGTTGGTAGCCACAGCCACAGGCGAAGTTTTTTTTTGGTTTTCTTTTTTTTTCAACTTATTCTTGTTGATCTTCGCCCAACAGTCCCGTCGTCGTCTAGCCACAGCCAACTTTTGTTGTTCTTCTTCGTCTTCTTCTTCCGCTTGTCCCTTCTTCTTCTTCTTCTTCCTCTTCTTCTTCTTCTTCTTCCTCCTCCTCCTCCTCTTCTTCTTCTTCAAAAAGTCGCTCCTCTTCCTCGTCCTCTTCTTCTACTTCTCTTTTTGTTATTCTCGTTGTTCTCATATCTCACCGGTGGCCATGACGGGCGGCGATGAAGAACGAGGCAGTCGGGGAAGAGCAACGGCAGCGGCAAAGGCAAAAGGACCTGCAGTGCCTGTTGTTGACAAGCCTGAATCGAGTACGCGAAGGACAACATCTGCATTGGCTACTTCAGCTGGCTGGGGGAAGGAGCCCACCCCAAGAACCGACGCAAGCTTATTCCAGGGGAGGAGTGAGGCGGCACATGTTGCACTGCGAAAGAAAAACAAGGTTTGGATCTGGTGTGAGCAGGGACAAGAGGTAGCTACTTCGAAAGGGAGGGGGGAGTACTGGGTCAGGTGCAGGTTGTGCTCGACAATCTGGAGGGAGTCGGCACATAAGGCTGCTGAGCATTTCTTGAAGTCAATGAAGCCGTGTGCACTGCGGACAGGTGAGATAGTCCACACTTTGGTTGCTGGCAGTGCTAAACTACAGCCAAACGACAAGAACACGGAGTACTTGTTGAGGAATTACAAGGGAGGCGAGGCCGAATCCCATGTACATCGTCGTCATGCATCATGTGGAGAGGAAGGCTTGGAAGATCCGCAGACGGACGAGCCCGAGCCACCGCCTCTTGCGGGGCGGGCAGTTGTCGGCATTGCAAACATGATTGCTGATCCACTTGATGAGGCTGTCGAGGGTGGAGGTGCAGCGGAGGGCGGTGGCGGTGAGGAAGGGCAAGGGTCGACAGCACGAACGACCACCTTCAGACAGACCAATGTCCGACGGTGGGTGGACAATGCGACGCAGAAGAAGCTGGACATTGTGTGGGTAGAGGCCATGTTCAGGGCTGGTATTGCTTTCAATTTCTTGAACATGGACACGACTCAGACATTGCATGTTGTGGACCTGGAGGTAGCCAACTCAAGGCCGAAGGTGAAGCTCCCATCGTACAACTACATGAGGACGGTCATGTTAGACATCATCTACATGAAGATCCAAAAGGAGGTGAACCTGATGACAAGCTGCTGGGACTCGATTGGATACACGTTCATCACTGATGGGTCAACTGACCGCAAGAATCAGCCAGTGATGAACTTCTTGGCGGCGGGGGAGCAAGGGGCGATGCTCGTGACAATGGTGACAATGAGTGGTAGGAAGAAGAATGTGGTGGCACTGGCAAAGTTGTGGGAGCAGATAATGAGGGAAATTGGACTGCAACGCATCAACGCAATCTGCACCAACAACGCTGAAGTTAACAAGAAGGCGACGCGGATCCTAGAACTGCGCAAGGACAAGGACGTGGCCAGAACTCCATGGGTTCCCTGCGGGGCACACTGTTGCAGTCTCCTTCTCAAAAATTTGGCCAACCTATCGTGGATCAAGGGTACAGTGAAAACCGCAAACACAATCGTGAAGTTCATCCGGAATCATCATGCCACGCAAGACTGGATGATGATTGTCGATGACTCATTGTCCTTACTTCGTCCGACGGAAGTGCAGTTCGGATCTGTGTATCAAATGCTCCAACGACTAGCAGACAGAGAGGATGTTCTTGTTGAGATGGTGGATGGGAGGTCGGCTGGAAAGTGGAGAGCATTGAGACGGTCAGGGGAAAAGTTTTGCAGAAGATCCGACCTCGTGTACTACACCGTGAGGTCCGAGGTATGGTGGCCGTAGGTGAGGAAGATTGTGGACATCATGAAACCCATCTTCCAGTTGCTGAAGAGAATGGACGCAGAAGGAACGCCTCCCACCAATCTTGTTGAGTACGATGATATGATTGGGCGGAAATTGACGAACGTGGTGCTGACGAAGGAGCGGGAGGATGTCATGGAGAAGGTGCGTGACCGCGTGCAAATGATGAGGCAGCCAGTTCATGCAGCTGCATTCGTCCTTGATCCATGGCGGAGGAATGAACGTTGACTCTTCGATCAGAACAGTGCAGTGATGCAAAATGCAATGCGCTTCTTCTTGAGGCAGATTGGGGGTGAGTGGAACAGCAAGGCACATTCTGGCTTGTGGGGGGAACTGATGGAGTTCCAAAAGCAGCCCGCGAGGGTTGTGACGGAGAATGTGTGCACGGAGCCCGACAAAGCTATGAAGAAGCGGAAGGATGAGCACATGTGGGAACAACCGGTGGTGGACGATGTGAAGAGGCTTAACCCTACGACCTGGTGGGCAGCACATGGCGGGGATGTCCCAACCCTTCAGGCAATTGCAATCAAGGTCATGGGGATGTGGAGCACTGCGACCCCTGCTGAGCACAACTGGGCATCCATGGACTTCGTCCACAGAAGAGAAGAAACAGTATGCCCCCCGCATCCCTCGAGAAGCTCGTGTACATACGTTGGAACATGCAGTTGCTGCGAGCTCGACACCACAAGGACAGCGGGTTCGTTGATGTCTGGGGTGCGTTCTTCGAGCCAATCATGGAGCCACAACAGAATGACGGGTCGACGCTGGCGACTGATACTGAGGATGCTGCTGAGAAACAGGATGAGGAGATGAGGCAAAGGAACATGGCTTGGAGCAGGATCCCCCAAAACCTTCTCGATTCCGACACTAGTGACAGCAGCGACCTCGAGGATATGGTGTGGAAGGGAAGTGCTGGAACGAGTCATCATCGGAGGACAGTAGCGAGGATGAGGACTCCGATTTCGAGCTCGGTGCGGTGCCTGCAGTCCCGGGGACCACGTATGTTGGTAGGCGAACTCGGCGACAAGACAGGGATCTCGAGGTTGAGCCTACGCCGACCGTCAATAGAGTGGACACGGACGTACAGTTTTTGCTGCACCGCCACGATGACCGGGACGAGGAAGAGGCCTCCCGTGCAAAGGAGATGGCGGACAGGGATCGTGAACTCGTGGACAGGAGGGTCGCTGAGGAGGAGGCCCGTTGTGCAGCGATCCCTACCCGCAGGGAGAGGGAGAGGTGTGCTGCACAACAGGAAAAGCACGGGGGCGAGGCCTTGAAGGAAATGGATGGGGATGTCCAGCCTGCCATGGGCAAGGGCGAGCAGCAGCAAGGGGAGCCCGCGGACGCAGCGGAAGAGCAGCAAGCAGCAATTGTCGTGTACACGCGTAAGCCCGGCCCATGCGTTGAGCAAGAAGTGGGAGCGGAGAGAGAGACCACCAACCAGCAGGTTGCAATTGGCGAGAGGGGGAAGGAGCAGCAGGAAGAGCCACAGGCCGCAGAGGACATCGGCACGCCCCCTTTCCCTGAATTGAACGATGTTCTCCACCATGACAACCTCTGGAAGAGCAGGGCAGGCAGGAAGAGGAAGGCAACAGCAGAGGAGTCCCACAAAGCGCCCCGACGCGGCCGTGGAAGGCCCAGAAAAGAAATGACAGTCAAGAAGACCGCATCGCAGCACGGACGCCGCAACACTACGGGTGACAAGAAGCGTGTCATTAGTGATGATGACCCGGATAGCGATGGCAGTCCCCCGCAGTCACTTGACGGGGGGATCAGCCCATGCCAGTCCGATTAAGGGATCAAGGGACAGAAGTCCCAAATTGTGTGTGTGTGTGTGTGTGTGCCAGAGAAAGTTCGGTGCTGCATAACTTCTTTTTCGATGTCTTCTTCTTCTACCACTTCTTCTTCTTCTTCCTCTTCTTCTTCTTCTTCTTCTTCTTCTTCTTCTTCTTCTTCTTGCTATGCAGCCTTGTGAGGTATGGCTTCTTCTGCTTCATGTTTTGTGCCACTGCAGGTATGCATCGGTCAGTGTTCGCAGGAGTACAGGTACGCTGCAACCACCCCACCAACACCCCCACTACACCCGCTCCCCCCCCCACCCCGACCCCTTCTTCTCCTTGCTATGCAGCCTTGTGAGGTATGCCTTCTTCTTCTTCATGTTTTGTGCCGCTGCAGGTATGCATCGGTCAGTGTTCGCAGGAGTACAGGTACGCTGCAACCACCCCACCAACACCCCCACAACACCCGCCCCCCCCCCCCCCCCCCCCCCCCCCCCCCACCCCCCATGAAAAAAAAAAATGCACATCTATCTTTTCTCTGCGGATTCGGGGAGATCTCGACAAGCGCAGTCCAACCCCATCATCAAAGAAAATAATAATAATAAATCAACCCGGTTTTGGGCCCAACCGGATTTCCGGTTGGACCATCGGCGGTGCGCTCCGGTCCAACCGGCCGGTGGCCGGTGCAGCCCTGGGAAAAAATGAATTCAGTTTTTTATCTTCTTCCTTATAACTCCCCCAGTTCAGAACCTCTTGCGTACAAGGCCGCCCACGTGGATGTAGGTTGAGCGGCAGCTGCCCCCACCCCCGTCTGTCATATCGACCCACTTGCACACAGCCAAAAGGCAAAGAGGCAAAGAAAAGAGGAAGGGAACAGCCAAATAATACAGAACAGGGGGCAACAAAACAGATTTCAGATGATAAGTCCCACATGCAAGCATCGCCCCTGCCCACAGGCCAAACGACGGGACAAGACCAACCAGGATGTCAAGCATTCTTGTCTGCAAAAAAATCAAAAAGAACCCGGAGGACCGTATAAAAAAACAAGCCCGGATGACGATTCCCACATGCAAGCACCGCCCCACGTTCCAAAAGGCCGAACAACGGGAAACAACCAACCAGGATGCCAAAACAATAAAAAGCCCCGGATGACTGGTCCCACATAAAGCACCGCTACCTGCTGACTGAATAGACCGAATAACGGGACAAAACCAACCGGGATGCAGACAAGATTACCATAACACATCTACCATATCCATAGTAAAAAAAACGGAACACCACAGTAATGGTTGAACGATCCTGCCGATTTAATTAATGGGGAGAAAATGGGATAGAAAAGAAGAAAAGAAGAAACAGAAAAGAGGATATCTGACCCCATCCTGGGGCGTGGATGAATTGCTCATCATACCTGGCATCCAATTCATCTCTATCCTTTTTTGGAAAGTTCCCAAGCAGCACGACCCACAGACTCCATGTAAAGCACATCATATTTTGGCGTTGAAGCACATTAGAGTGTAATAGTCGATCAATCGATTGATCGTCAGCCTCTCCGCAATGTCATGTCCAATGGATAATCCATCAATTGCTCCACAATGACATTTTCAATACACAAGAATCAAATTCAAATTATTCAATCTGATTCAGTACGGACCGGATACTTGTGCAATCTGACATATCGAATAGACAATCTCCAATCTGATATGAGGCACTAAAGAATGTGTACACCGTTTTTTTTTCAAGTTTCTTTTTATCAAAGAAATTTGCTCATCTACTTTCGTTTGGATTCGACCTCAGGTCTGAATTTCAACAGTTCATGGGTGTACCAACTGAGCTAGGCCCACTAGTTCTTTTTCTTTTTGAAACTTTTTTTTTCCACAGGTATGTAGAATGCGCTGTTTGACCCCAGGGGTGTAGATCCTTTTGAGATTATAAATAGGACATGTGAGGACTGAGCCCTCACGGGGCCCTTATCAGACATGCAAGTGTTCTGGGCTGCGGCCCCCAGCAAGCCCTGTGCCCGCCCTAAGTGAGGCGGGCCTGAATATCCACGTGAGGCCAATTTTGGGCAATTTCCGTATGTCGGGTATCAGACAGTTGCAGCACGCCAGTTGGTTACAAAGCAACGTGAGCCTTTCGTGGCTCTTTCCAGAAGAAGCAGCTTCGACGTACCGCTGGGCCCAGGGCTTGGGTGGTTGTGCCCAGGGCACACGCAGTGTGAGGCCGACACATCACGCAGTGTCCGCGGGCCAATGAGAAAGCAGCATTGTCGTCACAGATTTACCACAAGCCAATGGGAATGCGGCAAACATTCGGAGCCTGGAGGGCTGCCTGGACGTCCCCAACTGTAAAGGGCCCAGGACCGTAACAGCAAAGGTGGGCCTGGGCGCAGACACTGGAGCCAGACTGGAAGCTACTGGAAACTTGCCCAGCCAGGCCCACGCAGCCAGACACAGGGCCGCATTTTCCATAAAGGAAAGTGCCCTGCCCAGGCAAAGGCATTCTGGCCTGAGGAGGCAATGCAGCCATGCTGCTGCATTGCTTTGCGACGCTGCTCTAAGCAGGCAGGCTGGGGCGCGCGCGGGCGCTAAGAGGTGAGAGGGCGCTGCGCATGCGGTGGCAGGTGATGGCGATGGTGGTCTTCGGGTAGGAGGCGCATGCAAAGGGGAGACAGGGTGTGATGAGGGGAGGCGATAGAACGCACCTGGTGTATGCTGGCGGTCGGCATTGGTGATGACGTCGTTGCATGAACGTAGATACGTGTAGACAGGCTGAGTAGTGTAGGCTGGGCGCTGGGCGCCATTCAGTAGGCGCGACATTGGATACTGTGTTGATGTGGCCAGAAAATGTCAGCGTTGACATACGAGTTCATTGTATTCCTCTTATTCGGATGGTAACTTGGTGCTTTGAGCTCTCTGCTTGGTACATGACTATCTGTGCTACTTCGTGATTTCGCAATTGGGATTTCTGTCTATCGCTCTCGCTCATATTCCTTGCAGATAGAACCAACAGGCCTAGCTCAGTTCATATACAGCCCCAAGTTCGAATCAGGACACAATGAGATGAAAAGAATAAAGTAATTCTGAATTACCTGGGGTCAGTCACTTCAATGATGATATCTCAAGGTTGTCGCCCTCTGAAAAAGAAAAAGGAAAAAAGTGAAGCAGGTACAATGTCACTACCACTTACAACAAAGTACCACAAACTTACAAATACAAATGGTTTCCTCAGGTAATTCTGAATTACCTGGGGTCAGTAACTGTTCTGCTTCACAATATATATATCTATATATCGTCACAAACCGTAGGCAGAGAGAGAGAAGAGGACAACAAACGAGGGGCTGTGACAAACTGTTTGGTCGGAGTTTCACCGACTCATCAGGAGGCTGAACCCTCAACAGTCTGCAGAATCCCCTCACTGATTACACTGTAAA